TGCAGCCAGCGGAGTGAGGCTCTGGTAAAAAATGATGCTGCTGTCGATGCTCGGACAGCCCAAGCTGAGGCCTGATGGTTACGTTTGAGCATTTGCTCTGATCTTTTGTCCTCAAGCTTGAGCACGTCCTCTGTTTCGGTGGGGGTGCCAGATGAGGAGAAGGAGGCCACTACTGGAGCATCCACCAAAGGGACTACCAGGGTAGATGCCAAGGCTGATCCTAATTATAGAAACGCCTATCGTATGATGAAGGTCTAGGCCCAGCAGCAGGGGTGGCACACTGTTCTTCAACAAGGTCCAAAAATAACAGAGGAGAGGAAGAACCTCTGTGTGGACCATAGGTTTAGAGAAAAGAGTATCCCCTTGGGTTGAAGGATCCCTCTGGGGTTCAGGTACCACCTCTTCTGGGGTGAATTGGGCAGTGACCAAGGCTTTCTCTAATAGGGGTTTAAATAAGGCTGGCTTAAAGACCGCCATTGAGGAGGGCTGGTCCTGGAGGAAAGTTTCAGCCTCAGAGATATATAGATCTCTGATCTCACCCTCTTCCTCCTCTGACCCGGAGGAGTGGCTATGTCTGAGGGGAGTGAGTAATCCCTTTCCCCATAACCCCACCAATCAGATTGAGTAGAGGGCCTACCAACCTCCTGAGGTCTAAGGTATTCCCTGTGTCTAGGAGGGGCTCCTAAAGAGGGATTGGGGAACCAATCTTGTTCACTCCCCAGAGGGTGAAAGAGCTGTTGAAAGCCCTGTGCTAATCCTTATTGAAGAGACTACTAGGGAAATGCTGGAGGAACCACTGCCTGAGTGGGCTTCTCCAGAAAGTGGGCCAGCAGCAGTGGGGGTGAAGGTAGCTTCAAGCCTACGTCTAATGCTACTCTAAGTGGGCTGGTTGGGAGGTGGAATTGTAGTGGCCTGAAGAAAATGGGGTCCTGATTTGCTAAGGTCTTGAGGACCCCCTTCCTCCTCTGTTACCATAGCAGACCAGGTTTGGGTACAGGAGAAGGAAGAAGAATGGACTCCCTCTTTCCTGGGCCCCACAATTTGGCCAACCTGTGCTTCCATTGGAAGGGAAGCCTGCTGCAAACGTCCCCTCATTTGGTCCAAAGTTTTAGTAAACTGCCTCTCAAGGGCAGCATGCCTCCTTCTTTCAGCCTTTAGTTCAGCTTGGGAAACTTTCTTTGGAGCAAAGGTTTTGGCCCTGATTTTTTGCCACTGCTTTCCTTTGAGCTGACTGGCCATGCTGCCTCTTCCTCCCTCCCCCTTCCTTCTGGGCCGGGGTGTGTGTGCCTCTAATCCAGAGGCTTCTGTCTGCTTGAAGCCTCCATAATCAAACAAAGGGTACACTAGAGGTGCTGGAAGCAACACTCAATATGTGTCCCCTGATCTCACTCGGATAGTTCTCAGAAATATTGCCACAAGATAAGACAAACCAATGCTTCTGGCCAATTAAAATGGCCCTTGTGCTTTGTGCTGAGGTAATAAAATGGCTGCCTGCACTAGGAGAAATTGTTGGAGGGCCGTTGTCACTTTATAGGCTCTAAGAGCCCCAAGCGAAGAGAGAAACCCAGGAGCGAACGTTTTAGCCTCAGAGCAGCTGTGTGTCAGAGGCTTGACATCAAACCTGCAACCTTTTCCAGCTAATTGCTAGCTACGATCCTTAACTATGCTTCCAAGACACAAGGCTCGTTTTGACTAGGAGCTGAGTCAAAGCTGGGGGACCTGGCTAGAGGCTGGTCTTTTATACGGCAGATTCAGCTCTGTGACATAATAGGGAGGAGTCAAACCCATCCTGGACTCTCAAAGCAGCTTATAGGAGAATGAGGCAGTGTAGGCTTTTTAGAAAGTTTTGAATCTTAAAGAGGAATTTTTTGAGGCCAACAATAGTGCAACACAAACATAAGTATCTTCTACAGGAGACAGAGATCAAGCAGATCTCTCAGACAAGGAAGCTGCCAGGCAATTTTGGAGATATAGTGGGAGGTATAAAGAAGAACAAAGGAGTTACGATAATTTTGGACTGAAACAATGATTTTGATGAGCCTGTTTAATACATGCCCAACAATGCTGATAAGTAAATGAGTCCTGAGAGTCATGACACTGAAAACTTGCAGTAGAAGGATATTCTGACCTGTTGAACATATATATGGAGTTTTGAAGATAATTTTAAGAATTCTGAAGAAAAAAAGTTTTTAAAAGAAAGAATTTATGCAAAGGAGAAAAATAATAATCTCAAGCATAAATATGCAAATACTGTGATGGTTAAAGCAATCAAAAAGCTTGGCAGGAGCCATACCTTGTTGAGTGACATATTTGTCGGATGGACTTGCCACCAAGCAACACAAGAACTCTAAAGGTTCTGAGCAGGATTCTGCATAATTGTATCCACAATAATACATGTAATAAAAACATGGAACAGAACTTAAAATCAAACCATGTACACTACATATAAAAATTAAATCAAGAACTAGTTACAAGCAAAATAGATTAATATTTACAAGTACATCTTGACCGAAGGCTACAGTATATAAATGGAAATGATGACAGTAAAAAAAATGCAAGTAATTCAGCATTCTTCCTTGCAAACTTGAACATCTATTGTTACAATAATATTTCAGGTACTGAAATTAATCTGTATAAGGACCTTTACATTTACAGTTCTAATTTATTCTTAGAAGATGAAATGGAACAAATATTAGTATGGGAATAGACAAAACCACTACAAAAATAGTTACCTTGACCCAAGTCCTGTTGAGGATCCTTTCAAAAGCTTTACAAAAATGATCAAAATGGATTACAGTAACTATAGTTATTATACTACATTTAAAGTTCTTTTTCTAATCATGGATAAAATGCAAGACTCAGCCAGAAATCTGTATTTATTGTATCAGCTATCTAAATATCCAACTTTATAAAAATAAAAGAGTGATGCATTTTAAAAAAAACTGAGAGGCATACATGCATTCCAAATCATTATTACTGTCCTTTCTCTGAAAATTGCTTGATTTAGTAAACCATCTACATTTCCATAAATGTTTCATCTCTCTTTGAGCAAAGAGCTTTTCAAAACAGAAAAACCATAAAGAATGCAGTATTCAGCATCACTACACAAAAAGATCATACAGATCCACATTTCAGCTCTCTTTCAATGTCCATATTGCTAACCACAATCAGACTGTCCCCAAAGGAACAGGAATTGAGCTCTAACACCACAATCAATCTTGTCCACAGTGAAAATAAAGCATAGCATAGCATGATGTGTGAACCCAGCCTATTGTTTCATCTGTTTGAGTAAGAAGCTACTATAATTCATCTAAAGCAACACCATACCATATACACTAAAAATGCATGCCACCAAAGAACTTAACTGACTCACAAGAAAACAATGAGCTAAACTGCATCTAGATGTAGTAGATATCAAGTCCATCAAAACATCAAATAATTGGAAAAAATACAATATTAAATCACCCATTTAATACAGTAACAAATATAAAAAATAGCAATCAACTGCAATAGAACTGAGCTGAATTCTTAAGCTTCATTGCATCCTCACTTATTTCTTATTAAATAAATATGGTAAATAAATCAGTCAACGAATCTATTGCCAATAATAGGCTAAGTATTCTTTCAGATTTATATAAGACAATGAGAATGTTACAGAAACCTACTATATAGTAGACAAAGAGAAATCATAAAGAAAGAGCTCTGTTCTTGTACATAGAAAATGTAAATCTAGAAAATAGAAAGCAAATCCTACAATATAACCTAATATTTATAATTGTATCTTACATCATGCACTAAAGTAACCTTTTTCAATTAAGTATAATCCCAACATAATAGTAACCCAATTCTCAGTAATGTAATTATATAATTTAGAAACTATAGTACCAATGCATCTATGTAGCATAGATTGGTGAAATACTGCAGATCAGAAAACAGAAAACAGCTTCCACTATGTAAGCTGTTAGCTATGTAAGTTATTTCAGAATTTATATTAAACTAACATAATTACAAAACCAGTTTCAGAAGTTTGAAATTAACCTACTTTAACATAACTCTCAATTTGCATAAATAAAAAGATAATTATTTCTCCCATTAATACACTAAAGAAGGGAAAACAGAACAGAAGACCTACTGAGATTCTTTCTATTTGTGTATGCTATATTAAGTTATGGTTTAGCATGATGTACAAGTACAAGCATCTTTAAAATTTTATTAGTTTTTCCCAAACATTTCAGTGCTATAATTTTGAAGTTACAGATTCTGATCTACCACAACAGTGGATCTTCTTTGCCAGTTTCAAAAAAAATAGTTTAAAAGAAAATAGGAATTTAACATTCCATGCATATATCCAGTCAAAATTAGCTCTTTTTTTATACCACTTCCAACAATAAACTATCAGAATGCATTGACATATTAGCAGAAGTTATCTTTTGGAACTGTGATTCTTATGCCCAAGTATCCATATGCCCATTACAGCCATTACAGAGTTCCATAATGTATTTATAATAGTCTCAGTTTTTATGCAAAAACCAGAAACTACAAAAACCAGAAGTTACAAGATGCTTCCATATTTTCAAGTTCTAATAGATTTGGCATCTAGATTATTTTTCAATTTATAGCAGAAATTCAAAGAAAAAGGAAATGAAAATTGCACTTTTACTCTCAAATCATTTTCCCCTCTGAAGGGGTAGGGGTAGAGATAGGAAGGAATATAGCCATGGAATATATATATTGTTTAAAGTAAAAATGGGTGTCCTGTCTAATTTTCTATACTCTGAAATTAAAACAAGAACTAATTAAAACATCCAGGGAAAAATAGAAAAATAGAATGTTTACTCTAGAATGTTTACTCTTTGAAACTTATTTACTCCCATTATTGACTAATGAAAGGGAAACTATCATTCCCTGATAAATATAATTCATTTTCAATATGCATATATATCTGCCAGTAGAAATAATTATAAATATGCTGTAAGTTATACCAAATAATTCAGACTTACCACTCTGGCTGCTCTTTCCTGAGATTCACATTTTCTACAAAACCAAGGTCCAGTGGGTACTTGCACAATTCCGTAGCATGCTGTTTTGGGGACAAAAACCAATATATGCAGATATATTACTGACCTATACCCAAAATATACCACTGAATTAAATTACCTGCAATATAATTTATTTATATATAAATATTGAGGAAGGCAAGTAATTTATACATATTAAATACATATTTAGAAATTTCTTGTTAATTCTATTTAAAATGTTACAATTATTCTATGTACACTAATACAAGGTGTTTTACCTTGAAAATTATTTTGATAAATAAATTTTTTGCCCTTGAAATAAACATTTTCCCCTTGGAATTTGATTAGTCCTTTTTTTAATAGAGCATGTTAATAGATACCGTATAACAAATTCTAACTAAAGAAATAGTTTAAATCAAATCCTCAGCTTTAATTTAAGTTGTTAAATTGAGGGTTCCCCCAACAAAGGGCTTCTTTTTTTAGATCTATCAAAGCATATAATCTAATAACCCATCCCCTAAGCTAGTTTTTTTGTAGGGATTGGGTTTTTTTTTTCTGTTCAATTGTTTCCAATTCTCGGAAACTGCTGTTTTCTTGGCAAAGTTTTGCCATTGCCTTCTTTCTAGGGCTGAGAAAAGTGATTGACAAGGGTTTCTCAACTGGCTTTATGCCTAAACTCACTGTCTCCTGGTTTCTGGCCTTAACCACTACATGAAATTAAGAGTGAGAATAAGAAAGAGTATGTTGAAAGTCACAAGAATACTGTGGAGCTAAAATGGAGACAAATGTTTGAAAGGGGAAATCAAACCATTATAAGACTAATAATGGATAAAAAATTCAATTTGATGAATTGATTTTTAATCAAGTAATCTGGTACAAAAAGCAGAGGAAGAAAAACAGATGTGTTCATTTATAGGTCTTCAAGTTATACATGATACTATTCTCAATTGTAGCTTTAGCATTAATAAACATCATCTTTGTCTACTAGTATTATTATGCTCATGTTTCTGATAATCTATTAAACAGTATTGCTGATTATTCTTCAAAATCCCTTGTATATATATATATATATATATATATATGTTCCAAAATCTCATTGTACAACAATCAAATTTAACAAACCTATATTCCTACATGTCTTTTACCTTCCAACTAGCTACTTATACTTCCATCAGTATTATAATATTGTAAGTTCCATTAATAAGTATACCACAATAAAACTATTGTAATCAATGTATTGGTGCTACTACAGAATGCTGTTCCCAGCATTAGGAAACAGGTTGTCCCATATATACTTTATCACATTTCATCATGAAAGTAACATCTGCCAATTCTATTTATTCCTTTTATGTTTGTAGACACACCACTCTTTTAGTTGTAGGTTTTAAATTGAGGGTATGTATGTATGTATACATGTATGCAAATAAATGCTCTGAAATTCATATGCCATTGGTATAACTGAGTATAGAAATCGCTACTGTGAAGATTGAAGATTATGGAATATCTGGACCATGACAATTGTACAGCATAAAATCCAACAATCTCATAAAGCAAAAGTAATTGTGATGTGACTAAAAACATCTAGTTTAGTTATACAGATGATACCTTGGTACTCATCATTAAATGGTTTCAGGAGGCACAAAGAAAACAAAAAACAATGAGTACCAAACATTTTTTTTCCCATAATGTAGTGAGTCACAAGGCAGCTGCCAACAGGTTCTAGTTTGTGCACTGAATAGCAAACAAACTATATAGTTCAAAGACTAAATTTTTGCATCAAAATGTGTTGAGTTTCAAAGCAATTGAGAATCAAGGTACCACTGTATAGATTTTACAGCAGTTTTAATTTATCACTTGGCATCATAATAGCATTTGAATCAAATGCATATTAATTTGAAAATTAAGTTGGAATGAATTCATTTGAATTTACCACTAAAGTTTACATAACTTGTTCAGTTATACCTACACCTTATATTACTCTATTTTCATTTCTAGCTCCCCTTCTCTTTATCTAATAGAATAGTGATGGTCTTACATGCAGACTGATCTGAAAATAAGATCAGTAGGTTGAGCAAGTCTGCTTTTTGTAAATACGATTAAATAATAAAATAACATCAGACATGACAATGATGTGGACTGCACAAAGAAGTTAAAGTGCTTGTATCTCTACTGTTGCCTTCAGAAAACAACATATTTACTAAATACTTGAAAATAAAAAATGGATACATAAATTAGGAAGTGGTTACAAAGGAAACATACAGACAAGTAGTCAGGAATTGTAATATGGAATTGGAGTCAGAAAACAAAAGAATAAACTGAGTCAGAGAAGGATGCTATTAATAATTTCCTAGCACACTTAAGATACTAACTGATGTTTTAGTTGAATACTTAGTTATTATTTTTGAGAAATCTTAAATAATTGACAAAATGCCAAATGTCTGAAAAGCAGCAAATGCTGCCCATCATCAAAAGGGGAAAAACAGATATAGAAAACTGACCTAGATCTAATATCACATCTGAGTTCAATATCTGTTTAATCTGGCATCAACATTTGGAAAAAGTTTTGAAATTATTGTAAAAAGATTATAAGGTTCTTGAAAACTATGTAGCAATTATCAAAAGTTAGATAAATACTAAATCTAAATATAGAAATAACTTCCTTAATAGATTATGGGAATTCTGTGAACATAATATATCATGATTTCAGCAAATCATTAGATAAAATAACACGTGACATGCTGATGAGCAACCAAAGCATGATGATTATTATTATTAATCAGATATATTACAGCTGCCCCATTCCGAAAGCATGGGCTGGATGACATATAATTAAGGGGGATACAAAGCTGACTCAAAATTGAACTCAACAAAGCACTCAATGCTTTCCTTAGCAAATTGGATAGTGTATCTACAGCACTTGGACACCACACAGGGAAAAAAATAATCTTGGCAAGTTAGATATTGGCTGAGTGTAAAATAATGAGAATTAACAGAAACAAGAGCAAATTTCATCACTTAGAAAAAGGATTCTCTGCACAAGCACTGAATAGAGAATATCTGGCATGGTACATGCGAGAAAGTACTTGATAAAGTGTTTAACTGTAAATTAAATATAAGCCAGCTGTGGGATATAATTGCAAAAAAGTATAATGCAACTTAGGTTACATCAACAGAAATATAATTTCTGAATCACAGCAAATAACCATTCCAATGTATTCTGCTTTGTATAGGCATTACTTAAAGCACTTGTACAGTTCTGGGCACACACGTTAAATATTCATAAAAATTGAACAGATCCAGAGAAGGCAACAAGGATGATCAGGGGAATAGAAAACGTTACATGAAGAAAGACTGAAGGACTTGGGTAAGGTCAGCCATAAGAAAGCCAGCTGAGGGGTGCTGATAGCATTCCTAAAAGATGTTACATAAAAAAAGTTAAGATTTGTTTTCTTTGATATCAGAGTACATATTTGGAATAATAGATTTAAGTTATAGGAGGGCATAATTCCACTAAATGATAGGAAAAAAATTCAAACAGCAAAGGCAGTTTGATAATGGATCTAATTATCCAGATAGGTTAATGGGTTTCTTGACTAGATAACTACCAGTCCTTTTTTGGATACTGTAGTGAATAGGTGAGTAAAGGCAATTACTTAAGCAATTCCTCCAAACTCCAGCATTCCAACCAATGACAACCATCAAGTGATCAAAAAGCCAATCAAAATTATCTGCAATTGTATGTCACAAAATATACTTGGGAATTCAAGCAAAAAATGGTAAGATATGATTAGGAGAGAAAATTCTGCCTATTCTACTTTCTGAACATTAAAAAAAAACATGTTAATGTAATTATGAGAATTGCAGATGTCATCTTTCAGGCAACAGGTATCAAATGACAGCCCACAGCCATACTCTATACATAGGTAGACTGTTCTGAATTTCCTTCTTTGCCAGTCACTCCACAATATTTCTGCAGTTTTATATTAACTTTCTTCAACTTCAAATTTCTTTAATTTTCCTACAATGGAAGATTAGAATATCAAAAGGATAACTACTCATCAGTGAAGAAATTCTTCCCTTCACCCATTAATTCCCTTAAGGAATTAATTCCTGCTACAGGAATCACTGGTTCTTAAGATGAACTTTCTCAAAAACTCTCTCTGAAGAGATACTTCATAAGGAATTTTTAAAATGCATTCTCACATTTACAATGAATTTAATTTTTCATTAGGAAAATCTTGACTATTCTGTAAATCATGAGAATGTTTTTGAAACCAAATGATGAATTAATGGAACAAACACCTCAGGCTATTTTCTAATGATACAAACTATTTCCAATTAAATTAATTGAACTTATTAATTGGACTTATTTTGAAAAACCATAGAATATATATATTTTTCAGCACAAAGTATTGTATGCAAAAAAATATTGAAGCACATAAAAATCAAATTACAGTATGCTGCAAGAGTTAGTATCATTCTCATTGTATTTTCTATTTAATTATTCTGTAGTTCCCACTGTTGGATTACATCTCAAGTATGATACATATTGCAATTTACTATAACACAGTAAGAAAATATAGACATAAATGTCTCTATAGGAGAAAAACATAAATCGTAACCATTTGCATCAAACATTAATATTTATAAAAAATGTAATATATTATTCTCACATTACTCAATATTGAGAAAATTCCCAGCAATATGCTTTCAGATGAAGCTATTTAATTTTCATTAAGGTGGGGTAAGAAACATACCTACACCACATTTATATAAGGTCACCATTTCCTCATTTCCTACCATGAAATGTCATGTTATTAAAAATGTATAGGCTTTTGGAAAATTAATAAAGACTGAAATTTCAATATCAGTTCTTCAACCTTGTTCATTATCAAGAATACATACAGCAGTTTTCAAAAAATTCTTCTACATCATTTGGAAAATTTCTCCGAAAATATCTCTTTTCTCCCAGATTATATAAAATATACAAATTTAAATTGTATAACTGCTATTTAGCAATTGCTGTTAAAAATGAGCCAACCTGCTAAAAAGACTACATATACATATATACATACAGAATATATATATATATATATATGTATGTATGTATGTATGTATGTATATGTATATGTATATGTATATGTATATATGTATATATACATATATACATATATATATACATACATACATACAAAGACATTTTGTTTACAGGAAGGGCATCCTGTCAAAAGTTCTAACAAATGTTTTTAATACAACTAAATTCCTTATACCTTTTGTGCTGTGATATACAGCTATAAGTGAACCCAACTTCTTCCAAAAGTAAAAGAAACAAGAACACCAAAATACAGACAGATGCACACTGTGCTCATTATAGCCAGAAAAACAGCAACACAGCTGGTCACCAGCCAATTGCACTCCCTCCAGTAATCCAAACAAATCTATCATCAAAGGCTAAGTAATTCTACAGCGGCCCTTTTTCTCCCTTCCTCCATCAAGCTCCAACCACAAACAGGAAGTCTTCCTATCCAGCCGACGCGATCCAGCTTAATGACACTTTGGCAAGCGTGGAATAGAAGGAGGGGGAATGGGGGGGGAGATGTCACATGATATCTAACTCTCCCTTGGACGAACACTTTACCTAGTTCCACGTCTCGTTTAAGAATAGAAGTCTGCGTAAGGGAAGGAGCAAGCTTTCTATCGGCACGCAAACGGGAAAACGTATTCCAATTGAGGGGGCGCAGTCCGAGAATTGCAAATCGGTCTTCCCCTACGCCTAACTCTGCATTCGTGGACTATTTTGCTAATGACCAGCCCTTTCCTACCCTGCCTGCTTTCTAACCAGAGGGCGGAGGAAGGGGCAGGCACATGCAGGATAAGGAAGTAGCGACCTAAGACGACACGCGCAACTGACTCGTGCAATTCCCGAACAGAAGGAAAGCGAACCCTTCCCAACTGTTGCACAACACACAACGTCCTACCATTGTTGTTGTTGTTGTTGTTTAAAAAAAAAACCACCCTAAAACACTTCTTGCGAGCAGGCAAGAGACAAGCCACTCGATCTTTGCTATAGGGCGCAGACAGCAATAACGCGCATAGGTATACATACTCCAAAAAGGGTAATCGGGGCTAAGATGAGGCTGAAGGGTTGTGAGGGCGAAGGAAGAAAGGAAGGCCGCAGGAAGCAGCTTGCCCGTGTAAATGGGCGGCGGAACGGGGGTGGCCGAGGCGGGCCCTCTCACTCACCTTGATGCACTGCGACATTGCAGCCATGCCCGTCGCAGTAAACCAGCGGGTTCTCGGCCCAGCCCCTCTCGTCGGAGCACACGCAGCAGCCGCCGATCATCTCCTTCATGCTATTGGAGAACTCGCCCTCCAGTGACACAGGCAGCAACAACGGCTCGCTAGAGACCATCTAAGGGTTAAAAACACCGTCAGCACGACACCACACACCGCCAGAGAGAGACCCCCGTGGCCTCCGGTGCCTTTTCCCCCAACAGCACTCGGTTTTCAGTCACTCAGCCACCGCCGCCGCCAGTACCGCCTCCATAACAGGGATGTCGGACCCATGGCCGCTGGAAGCAGCAGTGGTGCTGGCGGCGGGGAGGCGAGGAAAAAAAAAAGCAGCGATGAAGAAGCTTCTTTGAAGTTCTTCCCGTGCGCGGGCTCGGCCGGGCCACTATCCGTCAGTCTTTCAGCTCAGGCAACAGGAAAGAGGCTGAAGTTACAGGCCAGCGTCGCGGCAAAAACCCTGCGGTCCACGAAGCGAGGCAATAAAGCGAGAGCAAGGCCCGTTCTACGCAGGCGCACTGCAAACCTTCCTCAGAGAAGGCCCAACTACGCGCCAGCGGCCGCAGAACCGAAGGCCTTTTCACTCCCCGGTCTTCTCTTTTTCCTCCTCCCCGCTCTTCCTCCCTCCACGCGAGAATCATGGGCCGTCTGTAGAGAGCGAGCGACTTTAACTCCAGAGTCGCGCGCACGGTGCCCACGAGCCTTCCTCTTTTTTTTTTTTTTTTTTTTTGCCGTTTCCTATACGGATGCACATTCGGAGCCTGCGCGGGGAGGGAAAGAAGGGAGGGAGGAATGCACAGTCGCCCTCCCTCTTGTCTGAGGAAGTCATGCTGTGTGGAGGGACTAGGCCCCGGACAAGACGCATTCATTTTTTTACGTTTCTTGGCTGCCATACAAAGATGACACCACGCTCTTCTCCCGAGAGATGCGGGGGAGGGGGAGGAATGTTGCGCGCGCGCGTGTTTTCATTCATCTCACTTCCCCCCTTAGGCCGTTGTGATTCTTGGGGCCAACGGAGCTGATGGATTCTTGGCCCTTGGCACGGTAACACCCGCGCTGCATTTTTCCCCTCCGTGTATCTCAGATTCCTCGCAGTGGAGAGAGCGCTTCGGGCAACCAAACCTAAGGTTAGGTCAGTTGCTATCATCTGGGGCCAGCCCTAGAGATGTGATCAGACGCAGCTTTCTATTTTTGTCATCACAAGCACCCGTGCACAAGCAAAGCTCATATTTCTTATTCTGGGATATACTTTAAAAATTCAAAATAGGCTTATAATAATCTCACTGGTTCAGTTCTTTCTAATATCAGATATATGAAATTAGCAATAATTTCAGATATCTTTAATAAGAAATGACTAGCTTTTTCATGGTCACAATTAAATCTGCAAGATTCTGCTTTTTAAAAAATGTTTTGATTTTGAAAATGTGCTACATTTATAAAGAACAAGAGTCCAATGGCCTTTTATTCTAGCATAAGCTTTTCTTTATTCTATTGTACTCTTTAATCTTAATCATGTCTGCATGACACGCTTTGTCAGACTAAGGATGCAACATTAAGGAATTCCAGCAAGATTTATTTTTACCTCTTTCCCATTCATAGTCATCTCAAATTTATTTTATTCTGCTTCATCTGCAGAATTTACACATTTCGTAGTTTTTTGTTTTTTTTCATTTGTTCCAGGAAAACTACCTTCAATTAAATTACCAACAACTCAATTTGATTTGGATGCTTTTTACTTCCTTCACTTTAATTCATTCATATTTCCTAAATTCACAGGACCCTATTACATTTATTATTTTCACCCTGGTTTCACTGTATCACAGCATATCAATATGCATTTAAATTGCTAACCAAAAAAAAGAGAGAAACCAACAAATCTGCCTCAGACTCTTAAGATACCTGACTTTTCTTGCTACCTAAGGTAATTTGAAAGGGCATATTTTTCAGTTTTTAATAAATACTTTATTTGTTTATATATAAAAATATCAGGAGAAATTGAAGGTAATCAGCTTTAATAGTGGGTGATCTGAGGAGGCAGGGTGGGGGTGGGGTGTAAAGGGGCCTGCACATCTCTACTTTGTATAGCAGCTTTTTAAAAGCTCACAATGTATGTGATGATTATTTTGTATCTATTATGAGCAGTTATGACTTAAAAAAAGGAATTGTAAAACTACATGATTAGATTGGTATGCAAAAGCATTAATATATGTCTGGAATAAGTCTTGAATTTAATGAAACATCAAAAAATGCTCAGTAAAGAGCTGCAGCTTTACAGCATTCTCTCTTCTCTGCTATTTCAAGCTTACCACTTTCAACTTTTCTATTTAAAGGCTGCTAATTTTATACAGAAGATGAAAGGAAAAACACAAGATACCACTGATCTGACCATCACATTAAATGATAAGCAGGACAATTTTCTGCATCACTTGGCAATGTTTATGTTTTTGCAAACCTGCCTTATTTACCAATAGTTTAGTTACAGTATTAAATAAAGTATCGTCCTATAACATTGCCCTAAATATATTAAATGGATTGCCCTCTTTTAGGTACATACATTGTGAGTACATACATTTACATACATTGTGAGCTTTTAAAAAGCTGCTATACAAAGTAGAGATGTGCAGGCCCCTTTACACCCCACCCCCACCCTGCCTCCTCAGATCACCCACTATTAAAGCTTGTACTTTGCATGTAGGGTATCTTGGCTAAAGTTTTGCTGTCCTTGAAAATCTAAAGTGAATGTTTCTAAATAGATGACGGAAGACAAGGAAAGGAAAACAATGAGTGTCATTTCCTTCAGAAAGCATTACTGAACAGTGATTAACATAGCAATTTGTCATTTAAATATTCCCCAATATAATGCATAGCAGAAATCTTTTGGGGGAACTTGAAACATAGTAATTTTCTTATAAATTACTTTTCTGTATTAGTGCACCAGCATGCAGAGCAGTAAGAAAATTCTATAAATGAAAAATGATACTTAAAACCATATAGCATTGTTTTAAAGAGTGTTTTAGCCCTTAAAGAAAATTATTTGGACATTACAAATATGTGATATTTATTATCGTAAGTAAGCATCAATTTTAATAAAATATTTTTAAAATATTAGATTGCTGGGATCCTATTAACATGCTTGCATGTACACAAGCACATTATGCACATTTACTACAAAATAAGTCCCATTTAGCAGAAATTTCTGAGTAAACTATGCACTGCCAGTTCCATGACTGGGGGATTAAATCCATTTACATCTAAATGTTTCCATATGAAGTCTAGTCCTGTGCATATTGACTCAGAAGTAAATCCTACTACATTAAATCCTACAGTATTTTCAAGTACATATACTACATAGCATTACTTCCTGTATTTATGTAAACAGTAATTCCATAATCCTAATTTCTATAAAGATATTTTTATTATTTAGCACCAACAAGATAATGGTTCAAATGAGATTGTAATCTTAAATACTGTGGTACTTAAATATTAACTGATTTATTTATATTTCTTTTCTACATCAAATCCACATATATTCTGTGGTTTTTAATTGAGATCAACACAAAAACAATCACTTTGCTACAAAGTAGCCCTAGTGTCACCAGGACAATGTTCTTAAACAAGTCATTCTTTTCTAGAGGGGACTATTTACAAAGACTAATTGCAGAAAAAAATAAGGATAGATAGATGTACAAGAGACCTAAAGAAACTGGGATTTGAGGCACAAAAGAGAATGGCCATCAGGGATAATGATGACTGGAAACTTACAGAATAATACAAAAAAATACAAAAGAAACGCAATCTTTATTCCTGAACAGTGAGGATTGCCAAGATAAAAAATACAGTGTAATCAGTGAATCTAAGGACTATTGTAAGAAATTAGTCTGTACCTTTCTAATTTAAAAGGAAATTAGAAACACTGGTAAGTTTCATAGGTCTTTAAATGTCACAACTCACATTTCTTGCAAAGACAATGTTAAATTAAAATCTAATCCTTGCCAAAATGTATGATGTCAACTGTAATATATATCAAAACAAAAACAAAAAAAATAAGTTTTTTGTTTTATGTAGTTCAAATATATGTCATTGTTACTATACAGCAAAGGAATATTTAAGAATCAATTAAAACTCGGTATAAATCAAAGAACGCTATAATCATTAATACATTACAATATTATTTTAAATAGGATGCTATTAATTTTAGCTTTAGTGATGAAAGTAAACTGACCAGGATCACTAGTTTATAACTGCAGGAAACTTGATGGCAAGTTGTAGGTAAGTCACTTGGTGGTTTTGGAAAACAATACATTTTGAGGGAACCATTGAAATGCAAAACAGAAAACAGAAAGGCTTTATTACAAAGAGGTACATAGAGCAAGCCATTAACATCCATATGATATGAATGTATAAACCTTTTACATCCCACTTCTAAGCACAGTACTTGGGAGTAAGATTGACTGAAATCAATGTTAATTACTTTGAAGTTATATTTCTAGGATTGGAAGTGTTAGTTTGTGTTTTTAAGGATTCAGTTGTTCTAAATGCTAGTGCAATATGGAGGCATGCTGCTAAAATTCATTTTATATTGATTTACTCAGAAGAATATTAATACTGGAAAAAGAATTATTGCAACTTTATGTTTTATAATTTGTAAGCAACACTTTTCTTAAAATTAAACTACAGAAAAGCATTTAAAACTTAAAATGAAATATGCATACTTTCTGTACTTTTATCAGTTCAAGTACTGGCTTATATGCAAATCCTCTAGCTTTCAAGGAATTCCATGCGATTTCTTAGACATGTATAAGACTGCTATGTTATGCACATAGAAGTATATATTACTGAAAACAATAATTCCATTTACTTTTATTTTCAAAGAGACTAAGCATTAGGAAAAGAAACCATTATGTTCAGTGAAATAAAATTAAAACAGCATTTGCCTTTTTAATGTTTAAAAAACAAATACTATTAACTAAAATTTGATTAAAGTAATTTTTTTCCTCCTGTGGGTTATCTTAAAATAGAATCAACATCACATCTTCTGATTAACAGAGAGTCTACACTGTATAATCATCTTTCCCACATACATATGAAGCAATTTTAGTACATATTGTGCAAGGTTAATAGTTAAAACAAATATATAAAATGATTTCTTGCAACATTGTTTCTTTTTCATCTTGTACTACAAATAATTAGAAAGATTAATGAGAAGGAAAATATAAATTTTGTGTGAGGACAATTTGTTTCTCTTTGGAGGTGTGGAATTGGGTTGTTGTTTTTTTTCATTAAGGCTTTTCTTAACAACTTTTAGCAAGATCTTCAGAATTAATCAGTGTAAAAATTTATTTTTATTGTTTACATGGGCACCAGAAGCTATGTAACACAAGACATATCAAAAATGCTTGTAGAAACATGTTTATAAAGTATGGGTGCTGTAAGTATTTATATAAATATATTACATTCTCTTTGCCTTTCTATGTTTACTGAACTTGAAAATAGTATTAATAGAAATAAAAGTTAATGATGCTTTGTTTAATCCTAGAAAATGAAAATATAATAGCTGTTCTACACAATGTATGACACTTGTGTTATGACCCATGTACATTAATATGTTTTAGATGTTGCTCTATTGAAACTAAGAGAAATGTATATAGGCATGGAATCATTAATTATCTCAAGTTTTAAGATACATATTCTGCCATTAAAAAAAACTCCATGTTGATTCTGTCAAATGTACTTCAAGCTAGACTG